CGAGTATCAGAACTAGCTGTTACACATTACTACTTCCTGTAGGACAGGCAATCAGCTAAACAGGACAGAGGAATTTCAGCAAATAACATCACTACTCCATTGCTCAACTGTCACGTCTATAATGAGATTAGTAACTCCACACAATTGTGAAAATGAATGAGAAAAATCAAATAAAACTCTTCTAACAGTGTTGGCACAGAAAAACCATCCCATGGGTGCTCTCTATTTTTAGGTTTAGTTCTCACAACTACCCTTTGAGGTTGAGATGATGACCTTGCTTTATAGTTTAGGACACTGAAGTCAGTGCAAGGTAAGATGCTTTCAGAGCAGAGAGAAAGACCGAGTTCTACACCACAGTCTTTCACTCAGGTCTCCATCGCAGTCAAGAACTTATATAACAACTCCTCAAAAGGAATGTTTACCTCCTTTAGGGCCCAGGCTGGACAGTTAACTGGAAGCAGTTAATGTCCTTGAGGCCTCCCTGGTGGGTCATCCCCTGAGACCCAAGTTGCCTAGTCAGTCACCTTCTTTTTTCCACCATCAGTCTTCTGATAACCGCTTTATGTAGTTTGTCTGGCAGTTTCAGTTGCAGTAAGCGGGAGGAATAGGGTGGAATTTCCTTACTCCATCTTGCTGGGACATGGAGGCCTTATACATATTTTTGAATCAACTTTCTGAGAAATACAGGCAATAGAATATATTCCTTCATGGAAATACACTTATTTCCATGAGTTCCGACAAATGTGCACACCCATGTAACCAGTCAAAATGCAAAACATACATTTCCACCACCCAAAAAGCTTCCCTTTGCTTCTTCCCAGTCAATACTCCCCTACTGACTCTCCCTGCACCTCCCGCCCCCACCATCCCTGTGCCAATCACAGGCCTCTGACAAGTCCTGACCTGATTTCTATCACTAAAGACTGAACTTGTCTTTCCTAGAGGTTCAGATCAAGGGAAATCAGAGAATGTACGCTTTAGTAAAAGTCCGTCTTATTTTACTCAGGGTCAGGTTTTAATATAGGATATGACCTTGCTCCGTATCACTGGGTCTATCAGTCCATTCCTTTCTGTTGCTAGGCAGGATCCCATTATTGTGTGTGTTTTCACTGTCTGCTGTTGCCGACAGAGCCCAAGAGCCAACTGAGCACAGTTATTCCTGCCACCACCACTGTTGCGGCTTCTGTTCTCAGAAGTGTGATGCAGCAATGAGTACTTATTTGAAGATGTTGGTAGGATAAGAATTGAGAGTAAAAGCTTGGTTTCTTCTAATCATGCTCGAATTGATCTGTATCACGATGTACTCAGACCAAAGAACATGATGATCAGTCATCCTCTAGCCAACAGTAATTTTAAGGGTTTGTAGTCTTGGTCTTATATTGCTACAGGAGATACTCCTATAAGCATGGAAATGTTCATCCTTTTGTGTATGAAAAAACACTTGCTGTAGTTCTGCTTAACAATCAGTGGCCTTCTGTGCTATACTCCTACATGACGGCTTGTGATGAATCAGCTACCTCACTACAGTCCTAGCCACATCCTCAGACCTCTGAAGTCAGCCTCCTGTCATCCATGCACTCATACCCCTGGTAGAAGTTGTTCATTACTTTAAGCCACTGATAACACTTGTGATGGCAATCCTTGGGCCAGAGGGGGTGGGGATGATCTGACTTTCTACTTCTTTCTCGGCTACTTATATTTAGACAAGATTTCTCTGACCGCTCCTTTCACAAAATTCTACGTTGAGAGACGTTGAGAGCAACAAATGAAATACTAAATAGTTTTATACAGGGAAGCAAAGTCAGTTTCTTTCTACCAATGCAAGGGTGGATGTATTTTTTCACAAAAAGATGACAATATTTTTCATTTGGTAAAGTCTTTAGCAGGTGGTTGACAGGTTTCTAGCTATATTAGTTTCTGCACTACCTTCTCAGATACAAGTTCCTTTAAAAATGTAGCTAGTCAGAATTTCTTTACATAGTACATACTGCAACAGATGGAATGAAGTAGATGTGAAACTTAATAGCTGTTGTCTATTAAGTCACACATTTGCAAAAAATGTAGAACAATGCCACTCTTCTATTTGTGAGTATATTTATAGAAAATAAAGCTATCAAAAAATAAGGTAAACTTCCAAACTGAGGCACACAGGTCTACATTAAAATGGTCGACCTTCTACCCCAGCACAGTAGATGAAAAACAGATATAGAATGTATAAGAAAAAAGGAGACTCGACAAGGTCCTATTATGAAAATTCATCATACCATTGATAAACCTGATCCTGGAAAAATTTGAGAAGAATAAAAATAACCACGTCAAGGAACAGGAATCAAAATGGCACCAACCTTTGAACAACACTGGAAACTACAAGACAATGCAGGAACACATTCATCTGTAGGGAAAATAATTACCAACCTTGAATAAAATTTTTAGCTAAACTATTAATTGTGAGAATAGAAGACATTTTTAGGGACTGTGTAGTAGTGTTATAATAATGAAGGTCCCCAATGAATCAGCCCCCCTGTAGTCAGACCACTTGCGATGTGTTCTTTGCTGTTTTTCCCATTGAGAGAAGGGATGTTTCTTCATTCCCTCATCTGAGCTGGCCCTGTAACTTGTTCTGCAAACTTAATTCTGGCCAATGAATGTGAGGGTGGGTGATGGGAGGTTTGTCTTTAAAGGGCCTGAGAGGTGATAGCCGGTTTTCTGAGTGTGATGTGCTTTGGCGTGTGGGGATGAAGACTTACTACAGGTCGGGAGGCCAGCAGTCCAAAGTGGGTGTCACGGTCTAAAAGTGTTGGCAGGCCTGGTTCTTTCTGCTTCCATAGGCCACCCTTGTGAATCTTTCCCCCATCTTCAATCTAGCAGCACGACATCAGATGTCTATCCCCACATCTCTGACCCTTCAAGGACTTTGTGATCACAGTGGAACCAACTACATGATTCAAAACTACACCTGCTCCCTGCCCCCCAGCCCAAAGCCTCATACTCTAAATGTAAAGTCACGTTGCCTCTGCCATGGCTCTGCCTGTTATCAGCCTTCAGTCCCACATTCAGAGGATTTCTGCTCAACTCTTCGTGAGTACTGAGCTTCCTCATGTCTGAAAAATAGCATGGCGCTGTGTGCTAAGAGCACAATGGCACAGTGCGGGACCACACGTAAATGAAGCCTAGAAATGTTGACACTGTGGCAGACAAACTGAACTATAGGCAGTGGGAGTGAGATGGGGACTGACTGGGAAAGAGCGCAAAGGAGCTTTGAGATGGGACGAGATTCTATTATGCTGATGGGGCTTTAGGGCACAAAGTGCAAATACTGGCTTTACGTTGTATTTAAGGGGAGTAATGCCCGCCCTTTCTTCTGAAATATGACAGGAAGGCCCACTAGAAGTAACACGATAAAATGATGTAACAACATATTCAGCACTGAAGTCTGAGTGTTCACTATAAAAATCTTTCATTTGTTGTCTAGTACTTTTTATTAAAGAATTCAGAGGAAGTAAGTTATGATCCTGAAATACTAACCCAGTGACCTAATTAAGTGGGCAAATAAAAAAGTAGTAAACAGATGGAATTGAAAAATCACTAGCCAACAAGTCCTGGACAACTTCTACTAAAGCCAATGACTCACCCAAGGTGATTCTGAAAGGGGCCGTTGTGGCTGAGCGGGCGTCTGATGGTTTCTGGACGAGGGAGCCTCACCTGCACACACAGGTGGGAGCCGGGGAGCGCTGCAACCACCCAGCACGGCCACATGCTCAAGAACCTTTCCATATACCCAGAAACGCGGATTTAAAACACGGTCTTCCCTCTGTGATTCTTCATTACGGCGCCGGTAGCACCACACCAACTGGGTGGTGCCTCATTGCTTATCTCCCACTTCCTGGTAACTCCAGAGAAAGCAGCAGCATTCCCCAGGCCACACGCAGCAAACACGTGATGCCATTCGACAACCCCAGCTTGACCTCTGGGGAGTTATCTACATGGGTGCAGATGCGCACAACCTACGGCTCCCCCACCGATGAACGTGGAACAGGAGGCTCAGCGGTCTCGGACACTGGACCCCCAACCCATCACCCAAGCACAGGGGAGGCACCTGAAAGTAACTACCATCACACAGAACTGAGAAAAGCCAGCATAAAGCACTTTTATTGCAATAATAAAACTTGAAACTCATATGTAGTGCAGGGGCTGGGGGCAGCAATAATTTCTCTCACCAAATCACTACACAGGACAGCAAAGGGGTGAGAGCAGGGAAGGATATGCCAAGAAATTCTAAGATCAGCTAGGGGAACTGAGCATCAAAAACAGGAGATGCTGAAGCTGCGATGACCAGCATCATTTTCTTAAGAGAACACTCAAGGATTTGTCATGATGACTGGGCTTTCACTGGGTGTTAAGTGTCTACAAACAGCACCTTCAATTTAAACTTTCAATTAAAGTTCTTAAAATTTAGGAAGAAGTTTGGATAGGTAGGAGATTACAAAAGTCCTGAATATCCATTAGAAAAACCACAGGATGGGGGCGGGGCAGGTGGGAAGGCCAGGCCACAAAGAAGGCTCCAGAGGTCCCAGCTGGCCTGGGGACAGATACCTGTAGTGTCCATCGCAGTGAAAACAATCTGCTTTCAAAAGGCAGAGGGTTTAAAGGGGGAGAGGGGCAGTGGAAGCAAAGGCTCTCTCCCCCCTCCCCACTTCAGTTTTGAATAGGACCTTTAATTCAACCCAAGGACCTCTCTCTACTTGGGAGAATAATTCGGCCCTCAATGCACCTCAAATCTGCTATGGCTGTGCAGCGCAGCAGCAAGAATGTTTAATATATAATAGATAAAAATTTCATCCAAAAAAAAATAAAATAAAGATTCTTGTAACCCCCCCCAACACACACACTGATTCCTATTCTAAAGTTAACCCATTACTTGTGCTGTTAATACTTAATTGGAAATCTATATCCAAAAAACTTAAAACTGAATCTTCACCCCAAAATGAAAACAAAATAAAATGAATAACTTGAGGTTTATGGCATATAGTTTAGGTCAACACACATACGAGGAGAAAGGGGAGGAGCGAAGCTGGGTGACAGACACATTCAGTCGGGGTAGATGTTTACACAAAGAGTGTAGTGGAACATCAGGAAAAGCTCCGGGTGGACTCGCCTGCACGCATCTGGAGGCGCCAGGTCTCTCCATGGCACATCCAAGAACTGGGAGCTAACAAGGAGGCCATTCCTGTCATTCCAGTTTTAGAAGTTCCACGTCAAAGACGAGAGTGGCGTTTGGTGGGATAATGCCTGGGTGTCCAGTGGCACCGTAGGCGTAGTCTGGGGAGATAGTCAGTTTGGCTCTCTGGCCCACACTCATCTGGGCAACCCCTTCTTCCCAGCCTCGGATCACCTCCTGCTTGCCTATCATAAACTTAAAGGGCTTGTTTCTGTCCCGGGAGGAATCAAATTTCTTTCCATCTTCAAGCATCCCCGTGTAGTGCACCACGCAGGTCTGGCCGCGCTTCGCTTCGGGAAGGTGCGCCCGTCTCCGGGGGAGATGGTCTCCACCTGCACTCCCATGGCGGCGGCGACGGGCAGCGTGGACCGAGACGCGAGCTGGCTGTGGCTTCACCACACACATTTTTTTTTAATACAGAAGGAACCACTTTTGCATGAATCACAAGTTGTTTCATTTTATTTACTCATTTTATTCACAAGTTGTGCTCATACATAGGAGGAGAAAAAGACCATTGAACAGAACTTGGCATTGATTTAAAGTGAATAGAACCCACTGTCTTTGGGGGTTTTTTGTTTGTTTTAAAGTGATGGGTAATTAAAATATTGTATCAATTCTTGACACTTTGGGGATCAGTAGCCTTTTGAAAAAGTAAAAAGAGCAGGCCCTTCCTGGTGGGGCAGTGGATTAAAGCACAGCACTAAAAAGCTTACGCCACTTCCTGCCCTGGAGGAGATCCACATGGCGCAGCAGACCCCTCCTGACCCGCCCGCTGCTCCCCTTTTGCAGTGTACTTAGATGATCTGCCTGTTCTGCTCCTCACTCTGTCTCTAGTAGATCCTCTCACCCTCCACACCTCTGGCCTGTACCCCAGTTCTGTATGAATAAATAAATAAATCTTTTTAAAAAATAAAAAGGTGAAAAGAGCTTTGTAAAGCTTAGGAGGATGAGCCTGTAGATACTATTTAGATATTGCACAGTTGAAGTTTCTAAAACTTTAGGTTAAAAGAACTTGATAAATTGAAATAATCATAATCAAGTCAGAACATGGACAGTTCCCACGTTCTCTGTGTCCTTAAATGTGAATTGAACATGCTATGAACCTGCGTGCATATCTTCTGAAGCTTCTCGTGTAGAATGCTCTTTCCTTCTGTTATAAAAGAAATAACGGAATAGCCAGTTAGCATCTTAAATTGTCCTGGGAGTTCATAATAGGGTCAGATCAATTCAGTAAAAACCATTGATTAACAAAATTTAGTAATTTTTAAAGATGGATGTGCTGGGTATGTGGGAGTTTTATTTCTATTGTCCTTTTTGCTTTTCCATATTTAAATTTTTCTCCATTAAATGGAGGTAGATGACAATTTTTGGGTTATGATTTCATTAAATCAAGCCTGGACAGTTATTATTTGTTTCATTGTGGTTAGTTCCTTAACACACTTGCTTTCACTGTGATTCAAACCCAAAAAAGGGTAAGATGTGGAGGAACAAATCGTAGAAAATGTCTCAAAAACATATGTAATAAGATTTTTATACTGAAACTTGAAAGTATTTCTTAGTAACTTCTTTGTCATGTGGTCTTTTGCTTAGCAGTAAGCAATCTAAGGCGATTACATTGTGCTGTTTTTATTACATTGAGTTTTCCTGTAATTTCAAGAAGTATTCTACATTTTTAAAAAGCGTACTGATCAGTATGTTAGCTTAGTTGTGAACCACAAGTAATATATTAATAGTAAAATATGTACCATTGTAGATTACTATAAAGATCCTGAAACTTAAAAGCCCTTAAGGGCCTGAAATCTTACTTAGAAAAGATTTTCTATCCATAAATCCTTAGACAATTTTAGTTTTCTGAAGTTCTGAGCTTTATCCAGTGGAAGTTAATGTGTGTGCTGATCATCTTATATTCTGCTTTTACTCATTCTTTTGAAAGATTACTTCAAAAGATAAGAGTGAATCTTTTAATATAGGTTATGAAAATGTTGTTCCACATTAATTCCATTCTCATTCCCAAAAGAGAACTATTTACTTCAGTATTACTTAATAGCTTGCTTATACTACTACTAAACAGTATCTCCTGCCTTCTTTCTATAGGTGAGGATTAAACTTGAAAATGATTAAGCTTGAAAATGAATGTTTGTATTTAAACACAAGCCTTCTCTTCTAATGTGTAAACTCTTCTTCTTGATTGCTGTTTATAGACTGTCATTTTGGTGCCTTCAGTAATTATTTTTCTTTTTATAAACATCATGGCAGTTCTTATTCATCCATATGACTTAAATGAACTTAAGTCATTCCTTTGTTCCTATAACATTATTGCTTAAGTATATCTTCTAAAAGTGGAATAAAACCAAACCATTATAAGCAGGTTGTTAATGGAGCTAAGGAATGTTGACTGGCAGTTCCTAGAAGAGATGTTGGTATCACAGATCTTTTTTAGTACTTTGTTAGAACTATAAGTCATCAAATAATTGTGACTGTTTTTAACATGTTGCCTTTTGAAATTTAAGCTTGGTACTGCCCAAAATTATTCAGTTACTTAGAAGTAAAAGTATTTATTATATGCATGTTTATACATGGATATATGTGTTTTTATGGATTTTCCATGGAGTTGTATGTTAAGTTTAGTTCTTCCTTGGGCTCTTAGCAATTGATAATTGATTTGTTATAGTTAATGTAATGAGCATTAAAGGCCTACAACAAGAATTGAACTCTTGCAACATAAGAATAGAGAGTTGAAAAGCTCACTATGTAACTTTAAACAAGCTTAACTTTTTTGCTTTTATGATTATTGTGAAATTAAGTACTTCTTTATCAATTGTCGTTTATAAAGTACGAAATTTTAATGGCTTCTTAAGATAAACTAATGGCAAAATTAAATACTGAAGTGCAGTGATGCCACTGTTAGCCGGGGGAAAAAAAATCAAAGAAACACCTGACTAGTCTTGCCAGTCATGTCTCCCCCACAACCAGACATAGTATTTTTAGTCTGTCACTGTTCCTGCCTTGAAACTTAATTCATGCTGTTTGGTTTATTTCTGTTTTAGCAGTTAAGTAAAATTAAAAATGAAGATCTGGATATTCTGGAAAATGAACTGATTTAGTGCCAACTTGCTTACCTATATTTCTGTAAGCACATTGAATGGACAGAAAGCACCTTAGAGAAAATTTATAATCTCCACTGAGAAACCTCTTAAATTGCCCTTCTAGCAATCATAATCTAGAAAAATCTAAGCCACAATACAATGAAGTGTCCTCCCCCACTGGAAACTAGACAGAGGAGTACCCTCTGCCATTCTGTTTTCAACAGTGTAATTTTTGAAAAGGATAGGAAAGCGTTGGCAGAAAGGGAGAGAAACATTACCCTAGCATAAACTTTGAAGCCCTTTACAAGCAGTGAAGGAGAAAGAAGTAAGTGTTAACTCACTAACTAAAGCACCTCAATTTCAATACCTCACACTGTATCAGTCTCTCTTTATCTTGGTTTTTATTTCACATGAGAGTACTTAGATAAAAGCCAGCAAATCAAGCAATACAAATAGTGACTAGATAGCAGAATGTGGGGAGTTAAGAATTTATCCATATTCTTGAGTATAGTAGTCTTTTAATAAAGCTGCCATAATTAGGAAAATGTTGCTAAGTATCCTAACGTTCTCTTAAGGATATAGAATTGTAAATACAGGCTTTTGATGAGAAGTTGAAGATAAGCTGGTAAAACAATAGGACAATATGAAAAGGTCTCTGGCAACTAAGAAAAAAAATGAAAGGATAAGCAACCTTGCAGATTTTAAAACCACATTGCAACAGTAAGATATACAGCATCTAGATACTCTATTAAAAATACAAAAAGTAGGAAAAAGATAAAAGGAATTTATAGATGGTGATGAGCTTGGAGGACAAATTAACAAAAATTAGGTACAAATAAAGGCAGGGTCATCTTAATAAGAATTTTGAAGTAATGAACCTGAATGGCATGTCAGAAGACAAAGCTAAATGCTAAGACAAGCCCTAATAGAACTGCTAAGTTTTAAGAATGAAGAAAGAATCTATATATTTTAGTTGGAGAAAAAATTAAGTTACAAAATGAGAAAAAGCATTTGACATCAGACTTCAATGACAAAGTGAAGAGAGAATGGAAGCAATTACTATAAAGAATATTGAGGTCTATAGGGAGAACTTTACGCCAAAAGTGAACCTTGTGATATATTTAAAAATTTGAACTAAGTAATTAGAGTAATCAAGGTTAGGAAGCAAAAAACTATCGTTCCTAATAGAAAATCCATATACTATAAAAACAGTGTACAGTCAGTGAAAAAAATTTTTTTAAATGATAATGAAGAAAGGTCCAGGGAGTTCCAACTGAAACTAGAGGGTTAAATTGTATGGTCATATCATGGGGACTGTCTTATTTAAAGTTGCTAAATGAAGAAAGAGGTTTAAGTATTGACTTTAAGTTAATATTTAATAAAATAGATTTCAAGATCATTGCAGTCATTAGTAAGTCATGTAATAAAAATTGAAACAAAATTTTAAATGCTGTTTTTCTTATAAAATGAAACTTAATTTAAGGAAAAGATTTCTATGCCTTTAATGCCTAGGAATATGAATGAATTCTTAAACTCACCATTCTGTCTCCTTAAGACAGTATTTACAAGTTCTATGCATCAAAATCTCTAAAGTCCAATATATGCTAATTTTAAGACACACGCTGTTAAAAACAAAGGAATTCAAACAGATTACTATCAAGTTATCTTGAAGAAATTACTCAAGTCACTTACTCTTTAAAAAGAAAGTGCTGGGTCCTCTCTGGAGGCTCAGGGGGTTAAAGCACAGAACTGTGAAGCTATCTGCAGCTACTTGAGCATGAGACCTGCCAGGGAGCTGGCCCATATGGCACAGCAGACCCCTCCTGTCTGTTCCCTTCAGCAGTGTATTTCACTGGATCTGCCTGTTCTGTTCCCCACTCTCTCTAGTAACTCTTCTCTCCCCCCACTTCTGGCCTATTCCCCTGTTCTTGTATGCATAAATAGATAAGTCTTTTTTAAAGAGAAAGTGCTTATAATGATTCTTCTAGATACTAGGACAACAGCAATAATGTAATAGTGCCCATAGGGTATATAGTCTAGCAGAGAAAACAAAACAGTGATTAACAGAGTCAGAAATGTGATACAGTACCATAGAGATGTAATAGAAAGATTCCTTTTCAAATTGGTGGGGAAGGAACTGTCAAGGAATACTTCTCAGAGGATGTAGATTTAAACTGAGACCTAGACAGAAAGAAGTGAATTTCAAGTATTTGAAACAGAGTTAGATTAAAATGAAATAGAGTCCCTGCTTTATTCCAGTCATACAAAAGTTAATTTATATGTGAAGCAGGTTTTTTTTTTTAC